CAAATAATTATATTACTAAATTATTTAATAAGTTAGTAAACAATTGTTTTTAAATATTTATAATTTTATTAAAAATGTTATCAATTATTTTAAATCATTAAGTAAATTTATATTTAAAATATTTTAAATAAAATATTTATATAAATGAAAAATAGTTATCAGTTTAAAAATTATTTTTTTAGTGATCTGAAATTTTAGTCACTAAATCGAGTTACTAAATATAAAAAAATCGAGTCACTAATTTCAAGTCACTATTAACCATTTTTGTAGTAAATAATTACATAAATTAAATATAGATTAATTAAAAAAATAAATCAAATAATAAAGTGACTGAAATAGTAACCGATTTTTTGTGACCGAAAATTCGAGTTACTATTTCGATTACTAGACTAAAAAATAATAATTTGGTTACTTGATTCGGTCCATCGATAGTAACTAAATTTTTCGGTCATCGATTTCGGTTACTATTTGACATTTTTCTAGTAGTGTCAAATTCATTATGCATTTAAGACTTAAACTCGCAATTGCTTCTGGCTTGCTCCCAGTCAACAACATATCATCCACATAAAGACATACTATTATTTTCTCTTCTCTGTCTTGGTCTTTCCAGCACTTGGTGTACACCCCTTGTTCGGAAACACATCTCACAAAACCAATCTTCTCCAAAAACTGATTGATATGATGGTTCCAAGCTCTAGGAGCTTGTTTAAGCCCGTAGAGTGCCTTATTAAGCCTGTATACCTTCTGCTCTTCTCCTTTGACTATGAATCCCAATGGTTGTGTTACATATATTTCCTCCTCTAAATAACCATTTAAGAAGGCAGATTTTACGTCTAGTTGGTGGAAGGACCAACCCTCCCACGTTGCCATTGCTACAATGATTCTAACAGTCTCCAGTCGAGCCACAGGAGCATAGATTTCTCCATAGTCTACTCTTGCTTTTTGGAGGAATCCTTTGGCGACCAATCTCGCCTTGTACCTCACAATTTCATCATTGGGATTTGCTTTTATTTTATAGACCCATTTCAGAGAAATTGGTCTTCTGTCTGATGGTGGTTCAACCAGTGTCCACGTCTTGTTTTTCTCTATGGCTTCAATCTCTTCCTCCATGGCTCGCACCCAATGAGTATCTCAAATAACATCATAGAATTCTATCTGATCTGCCTCAGCTATCAGGGCGAAATGCACGAAATTTCCATTCTCCGTTATCGCTAGATCATTGAAAACTTCATAATCCTTGAAACGTGTAGGTGGCTGAGTAACTCGTTGTGATCTTCTTGTTTGTTCATGAGGCTCCTGCTGCACTATTACATCACCTACAACATCATCAGTTAGTGAAATTGTTGGTGTTGTACCTGATTGAGTTTCTTGACTCGTTTCCTGCCAGTTCCAACACGAGCCTTCGTCAACCACCACATCTCTGCATATGATAACCTTTCGAGAGTTTGGATCAAACAATTTATAGCCGCCTGTTACGTGATAGCTAATCAAGACTGCCATAGCACCTTTGTCATCAAGTTTGCTACGCGTTTGATCAGGAATGCGGTGATAACAAAGAGATCCAAAAACTCTCATATGAGTTACATCTGGTTTCTGACCAGACCAGGCTTCCTCTGGTGTTATACCATCAAGCTTCTTTGTTGGTGAGCGATTCAAAACATAGGCAGCAGTTGAAACCGCTTCTCCCCAGAGATATTTTGGAACGCCCTTGCTTTTAAGCATGCACCTTACCATATTAAGTAGGGTTCAGTTCCTCCTTTCTGCAGTACAATTATGCTGTGGCGTATATGGTGGTGTTGCCTCAAGAGCTATTCCATTTTCAGTACAAAAATTCTTGAATTCAAGAGAGTTGAATTCTCCCCCACCATCAACACGAAGTCTCTCCAACTGCTTGCCACACTGATTTTCAACTAGTGACTTGAGCCGCACAAACACTTCAAATGCTTCACTCTTCTTTCGCAAGCAATACACCCATAACATTCTCGTATAATCATATGTAAAAGTAATAAAGTACTTGCTACCCCCAGGTGTTTCAACCGGCAATGGACTGCAAATATCTGAATGTATTAGCTCAAGTTTCTCCTAAGTTTTCGATGATACCTCTTTACTGAATTTGTTCCGCGTTTGCTTGCACTCCATACACTCTTTACATACTTCGTCTGGAACACACATATGAGGAATACCAACTACCATTTTCTTCTGTCCAAGTTCTCTCAAGTCCCGAAAGTTAAGATGTCCAAATCTGAGATGCCACAGCCATTCGCACTTGTCACTGATAGCAGCAAAACACTGGTGCTTCAATGCATCCATCTTAACCTGAAAGGTTCGATTGGAGGACAGACCAACATGTATAACCAACTTCTGGGTTTGATCAAATACACGTAAGGAATTATCTTCAAGTGTCATCTTGAAACCTCTTTGCATCAACTGGCCCAAGCTCAGAAGGTTTGATTTCAACCCGGGCACATATAGAACATTTTCAATTATCACGTCCTTGCCATCACTGTTTCGCAACACAACTCTACCAGTTCCTTTTGCTGTGAGAGAACTATTATCTGCGAAACGTATCTTTTCTTGACTTATATCACTTATTTGCACGAACCAATCTTTCTTTCCGGTCATGTGCGTGGAGCACCCAGAGTCCAAGTACCACAAATTTTCACCGTCGAGCTTCGCATCTGTCTCTGCCATCAACATGACAGCCTCTTCATCAGAATTTTCTTCCTCTGCAAGATGAACTCGTGCATTCTTCTTTGGTCTGTTCTTGGCTCCGTCACCATCCCAGCAGTCTCGTGCATAATGCCCGAATTTTTGGCAGTTATAACACTTGACTTTTTTCTTGTCATACTTCTTCTCTTTATCTTCTCCAGAATTTTGTTTCTGGTCTTTGTACTTCTGCTCATCCGAATCTCCCTTCTTCTTTGTCTTAGTTCCTTTCTTGGAATATCTTTTCTGCTTTCCATTTGTTCTTGCATGAAGAACCTGCTCTTGATAGGATCTCTGCTCAGACATGCGCAACTTGTGGGCTTCGAGCGAATGTTGCAGCTCCTGAAAGGTCAGTGCATCCAGATCTTTCGTCTCTTCAATGGTAATTACAAGATGATCGAATCTTGGAGGAAGTGCCCGCAAAACCTTGTTCACGATATTCTGCTCAGACACTTTGTCACCGCAAGAACGCATGCCATTAACAAGTTCTTGAACCTTGTTGAGGAACCCAACCACCGAGTCACTTTCTTCCATGATGAAGAACTCAAATTGCCTTCGCAGAGCCTGTAACTTCACTTTCTTATCTTTATCCCCCGCACCATACGTAGCCACCAAGATATCCCATGCTTCTTTGGTTGTGCCCGCCATGGAAATCCTATTAAAGATCGGTGAACTAACACATTGATAGATCAAGTACCTTGCCTTGCCATCTAACTTTTGTTGAATCTTGTAAGCCTTCTTATCATCCTCAGTAGCCTTCGCACCTGGTGGTGAAATACCATGCTCAACAACTTCAGCCACATCTTGAAAGATGAAGATCGCATTCATCTTAATCTTCCAATCGTTGAACATGCTACCATCAAAGATAGGTAGACCCCCTTGTATCATCCCACCATATTGGTCATGCTACACCACAAACCAGATCAAGAATGCACAAGAACCTTTCTTGATTACAAACCAAGACACCACTCTTTCCACTTCGTTGGAAAAATGCACTCTCACTAAACTGCACCACACACAGCGTCTGATTTGATTGCAGGCACACACAACTCACGTCCTTGGACCATAATGAGCTCTTGATACCATGTAAATGAGAGAGCTACTTATAGAGAATGAAGACTTTCTCATATTGATGTATGAAAACTGTAACGTTTATATATAATAGAAATAATAGACTAAACAGAAACGTGACAGTAAATCTCATGCACGTAACCATGCCCCATGCATTTTGACTTAAATCTCAACAATTATTCTCATTAATTTCTTAAAATATTTCATAAGAACAATTTTTTTCTTTGATTTGTGAAATATATATATATTTCTTAAATTTTTATTAAATATAAATGTTTAAAAGATTTAGATTTCGTTGATACTTATTAGTAAAGTATCGGTGAAATATCTGACACAATACGTGAGCAAATTGAAGTATGAGTGATTTATAGGTACACAATAATCATCTTGAAAAAGCTTGTTTGTGCTACTTAAGATATAAACAACTGAATTAAATTTGCGTTTGAATGTTTTAGGTTTAGGTTGTGGAAGCTAAACATTTCACTGACATTTGTATTTCAGCTTACGTATGCGGTGAAGCAAAAGGACTTGTGGCAGAGGAACCTTTTCATATGGATCAGACCCTAAATGGGTCCTCAAGATTAGACATCAACTCAGAAAAACTGTTAACTGAAGAAAAATTGAAGGAACTGAGGGCAGAAAATGCCAGTGAACGAACAATCACATCTGTTATGAAAGACCTTGGAACTTCAAGGTGATATATATGTGGAATTGTGTTCCTAAAAGAGCTATTAATTACTTTGTTCCTATGTTTACGAACAATATATGAATTTGAACTCAGGGCAAATCTACACGGATGGCCAAATGTGTATTCATTTACAAAAGCGATGGGGGAATCACTCTTGTGGAATATGAAAGGTGATATCCCTTTGATCATCACACGTCCCACAGTAGTACTCAGCACTCACTCTGAACCATTTCCCGGTTGGATTGAAGGTGTGAGGTATGTGTTTGAAATGAATGACGAGAATGTTTTGGATAATCTGACAACATATCAGTTTCTTACAATTTAATCACCTTAATGTAGAACTGTTGACCTTTTTGTTGTGATGCTCGGCAAAGGAAAATTGAGAAGCAGCATTGGTCGTCGGAATACAATCATAGATGCGGCAAGCTACAAATTTATTCTGCATTCTCTTCTTTTTTTTCTCTTGTAGTTGATCTCAGTTTTAAAACTGAAGAATAAATTGAAATGATTATTATGCATGCAGATACCAGCGGACATGGTGATAAATTCCATGATGATAGCAATGGAGGCTTGCTCAAAGAGCGTTTCAAAGACATTGATTTACCATGTTGGTTCTTCATTGAGAAATCCATTCAGAATTGCTGATCTTGAGGACATGTCCCATCAATATTTTACGAAACATCCTTTGATCGACAAATATGGAAAACCCGTGACAATGTTGAAGAAAGTTACTTGGATGTCTATGAGTTCATTTGACCTGTACATCAAGATCCGATACATGTTACCTCTCATGGTTTGAACCTCACTTTCTGAATGAATTAAATAATTTGATGCAATAGATAAAAAGAAAGTTGCTATCAATAATAATAATAATAATACAAGTAATAGAAAAATGTAGATTACTTTAATGACAGAAATGTTTAGTCTCGATCTGTAACTAAAACTGATAGCAGTATCTATCATCTGTACAAACACAAAGACCACTTTTGCGACTGCGTAGTTCGGTGGTGAACAATTCTGTGGTTAAAAAGTTGCGAAAAGAGTTACTTTTATATATTCTTTTGCAATTGTAGAAGAACAGAAATTGTTTTTGCTGACCACCAAAAATAATCATGTGAAAAACAGAAACCGAAAAGATTATTTTAGAGGCTGATGGGTAAAGAGAATAAGACAATGATCAATTTATGAAAATTGAATTTAGCCATCATGCAAGAAGAAACTATATATAAAAAAAATTCTTATTATTATTGGTATAAAAGAAAAATGACATAAAAAAATAAAGAACATATTTACTTTAATAAATAATAAATAATTAAATTAATACCTTTAAATTGATATCTTATTTTTAATAATATATATATATATATATATATATATAATTATAAAATATTTGTTTATTTTTTAAATATGAGTTTAAATTAATAAAATAATATCACATAAAAAATATATATTAAATTATTCATTTATTTTTTTATTATCATTTTTATGTTAATGATATTTTGCTAAAATAATATATATATATATATATATATATATATATTGAAATTTTAAATATGAAAATGAATAATAATTTATTATAAAATTTTTTTATAAAATAATATTTTTCTTACACTTTTTACCAAATGACATATTTTTTTCACTTTGTTTATAATCAAATAAAAAAATATTTTTTTACTGCATTAATATTTTTTACTTTCTATTTTTCTTGAAAACTAATGAAACCAAAATAACATTTTTCTAGTTGTTATAATTCTACAAGTTATAAGAAAAAAAATTAAAATATATAATTAAAAGATATTTTACCTAAAAGCGTATTTTATAAGTTTGCGTTAAATTAAACCTAAATTGTAAAATCAAATTAGAATTTATTCTAATAAGTGTTATTAGACTTATATTGAGATGTCTAATTCTATAAAATTTATATTCCTAATGCTTAATGTATGTTCTAGTGTTAATTATCGTTTTACTGCTGTTTAAAATTTATATATTTTTATGTCATAAGTTAGTTTTTTTAGGTTGAGTTAAAGTTATTCAAGCTAAGACAATAAGTTCATTTCTTTATATTATTATGCCATATTTGGACTAACTAATTATTGGTTATTTTGTTTCTTTTGCTCTACCTTGAAGGGATTAAACGTGATGAACAAAGTTTGCTGCTATGGGCACGAGGATTTTTACAATAAAAGTAAACGAAAAGTGGAAAGATTGATGAAAATAACAAGACTTTATAAACCTTATTTCTTCTTTGAGGGAATGTAAGTAAAACAGTCTTAAATTGATCTTCGAACTTCCATTGATGCATATGCAATATTTATGTGAGGATGTTGAATGAAACAGCTTCGATGACAAGAACGCAGAAAATTTAAGGATGGAAAAGAAGGAAGAAGACGATGATGTTGGAAGCTTTAACTTCGATCCGACAAGCATTGATTGGAAGGAGTATCTGTTAAACGCTCACATTCCTGGACTTGTTGAGTACGGTGTGAAGTAATGAATTTATAATAATTGTGTAATAGAATAAGATTGGTGGCCAACTACCTCCACTCATTGCTCAAACTATTGGAAACATGAAAGATAAAGCAATAAAAGTATTATAAATTCTATGACCTTTGATCCCTGACATTAATGATGAGAAAATGCATGTGGAACTTTAGCACGTATAAGATCAATCACAATACTAACCTGTTGATACGTGGCTTGAGCTATAATATGTATCTGACCTGGTCGAATAGGTACAACTCCAGATGCATTTATACCCAAATGCAACATCGTATCTGCATATATAATAAGAACAATATAATCATCACTACAAAGAATATATATGCAGTAAGGTGGTTAAGGAAAGTGAAAACTAAACCAAAATTTGACCATTTGTTTAGAGACTTTTCCTGGACCTACAACTGATAAACTCATAAATGGAGGAGTATAATATGGGAATAAATTGTGTGTGACGTTGAGTTGCGGATTATTTTGGAATTGAGGGATTATTCTAAAGTTTTGTAATATATTTATAATTTTATTCTCTTATATTTTTGTTTTTTTATATTTTCTTAAAATCAATGAATAAGATTTGTTATTGATTGTGCGTAGATATATTAAAATTAAAATTATTCAGTTACAATAATCGTTTTACCGATTTTATTACCTTTCTTTTCTTATAAATACATTTACATTCTTTAATTGAAGTAATGAGAGAAAAATCTATTTTTAGATTTTTTGGTGTTTTTTTTTCTCTCTTTCCGCTTTTGTGTTCTTCGATTTTGATGTTCGATTTTCTATCGAAGCATATTCTTAGATTTTTGGTCTCGCTTCATCCTCAATATCACATTGATACATACTCGATAACTTAGTGAATCTCTCTTCATAGATGATATCACATCGATACATGCTCAATAACTTTTCTCTCACGCTTGATACAACATTGACATGCAAGATTGATGTCATATGCTCGATATGCATTCAGTTCTTCGATAATCGACGCACACTCAACAATTTGCTTTGTATTCAACACAAATCGACACTCAAACTCAATATGAAACGCTCAATAATCATTCACTTTTCTGATATGGTATCAGAATTCTTCATTTGAAAAGTTCTGTTGTACACTATGACTATCTTTTCTAAGATTCTTTATTTTCTTGTTTTCATCTAAGGTATTATGGAAAAATTAACAAACTCATCACCAACTACAAGTGCATATTCTCTGCCTCTTATGAACACAAAATCTTCATCTTCTACAAATAACTTGTAGTATATTCATCCAAATGAAAATCCTGTGATAAGCTTGGTCTCTCCGGTTCTTGATACAGGTAATTATCATTCTTGGAGAAGATCTATACTCACTACATTAAGCACAAAGAACAAAATCGAATTTGTAAATGGTTCAACACTATAACCTACAAAAGATGACCCATCCTACATAGCTCACTACATGAAGTGCAAAGAACAAAATTGAATTTGTAAATCGTTCAACACTATAACTTACAAAAGATGACCCATCCTACATAGTTTGGTGGCATGGTAACAACATGGTAATTTCTTGGATAATGCATTCTATTTCCTTGACCATACATAAAAGTATATTATGGATGGATAAAGCCAAAGAGATATGAAACAAACTAAGATCTTGATATTTTCAAGGTAATGTTTTTCCATTTCTGATCTCCAATTAGAAGCATCTTCCATTAAACAAGGTAAACTTTCCATTACTAAGTTTTTCACAAAACCTAGAATCATTTAAGATAAACTTAAAAATTTTAGACCTAATCTCACCCGTATGTATTTAACAAAGTGCTAATTCTTCAAAGAGATTGATTTACCATGTTTGTTCTTCATTGAGAAATCCATTCGGAATTGCTGATCTCGAGGACATGTCCCATCAATATGTTATGAAACATCCTTTGATAGAAAAATATGGAAAATCCATGACAATGTTGAAGAAAGTTACTTGGGTATCTTTGAGTTCATTTGATCTATACATCAAGATCCGATACATGTTACCTCTCAAGATTTGAACCTCAATTTCTAATTGAATTAAATAATTTGATGCTATAGATATAAAGAAAGTTGCTATTAATAATGATAAAAGTAATAGAAAAATGTACATTAGCCATTGAAACTAATGACAAATTTTTAGTCACATGTTAATTAATTTATCTATAATTTTTTTATTTGACTCTTGTGTTTTTAAAGATATCAAAACAAAATAATTAATTGATTGTGATATTAGGAGGAGAAACTTATATTACCTAGGTCTTAAAAAAAATGATGAATCACAACAACCATTTAACTGTTGATAACTCGAGGAAGAAAATAAAAAATCTGAAATCTAGTTGTGACATCGATGTCTTGATTATGCCTCATTTAGGTATTTTAAAAAATTATTTTCTACTTTATTTAAAAAGTATAATCTTTTTAATTTTCATTGTGATGTTTGTAAATTTACAAAAGAGTCATAGAATTTCATTTCCATTAGTTCTAAATAAAAAAGTCCTCAACGTTTTATGGTGATACATTCTAATGTGTGGGATCCATAAAAAAGCCAAACTTTAGGTGGATCTTGTTGGTTTATCACTTTTATTGATGATTGTACAAGAATGACTTGGTTATGCTTAATGAAATAAAAAAAATGAGATAAGTTCATTATTTTAAAATTTTCATAAAATGACAAAAACTCAGTATAATGACCAAATTCAGGTTTTACGGAGTGATAATTGTATGAAATATAAAAATTTTGAACTACAAAAAAATTTAAAAGTTGATGAAATTATTAATCAAACTACATGTCTTAATACACCTCAACAAAATGGGACAACTGAAAGAAAAAACCCGCATTTGTTAGAAATTGTTTGTGCTTTGTTAATTAAGGCACACATGTCATTGTTTTATTAGGAAGAAAATCTTACTTCAATAGTTTATTTAATAAATCGTACTCCTTCAATCATATTTTTTAATAAAAGTTAGTAAGTGAAATTATTTTTTCAATCATATTTTTTAATATTTTTTAATAAAATCCGTATGTAAAGTATGACTTCATTACATACAGATTTTATTGTCATTACCTACGGATTTCATCCTTCGAAAACGTTTTCGCATAAACGTGCTAATATTACATACGGATAATACATACGAACTATTGTAACGTATAATTTTATATACGGATAAAAATTCGTAGCTAATTTAAAATGTATCTACGAATATGAATCCATAGGTAAATATCAACAGTTAATTGATAATTTTCTTGTAGTATTTGTTGATTGTCCACTAGAAAAGAAATCAGTCAGATGTCGATGAATTTACCTTGTCAAACACAAAGCAAATGGTACAATATAGTGATTTAAAACAAGATTAATAGCAAAAAGATATACCCAAACATGTGGGATTGATTACACTGAGACATTTGCTCAAGTAGCAAAAATTAATACTGTTAGAGTATTATTATCTCTAGCAACAAATTTAGTTTGACCATTAAAGCAGTTTGATGTAAAAAATGCATTTTCACATGGGGAGTTATATGAAGAAGTATACATGGAACTCCCACCAGAATGCATGGTACCTGAAAAATACAATAGAAAGTATGCAAACTGGAAAAATATTTGTATGGGTTGAAGTACTGCCCACGAGCATGATTTAGAAGGTTTACAAAATCTATGACAATATTTGGATATCATTAAAGTAATTAAGTTCACACTTTATTTTTAAAGAAACAAGAAGGTGAAACTTATATATATGGATGATATGATTGTTAGAGGAAGTTAACAAGAAGAAAGTAAAGTTTTACAAGAGTATTTATCAAAGTAGTTTGAAATGAAAGATCTTGATTTCTTAAAATATTTTCTTGGGATTAAAGCATATAGATCCAATAAAGGATTTTTTTCTGTCTTAAAGAAAATATGTCTTAGACCAGCTACAAGAAATTGGTATGTCAACTTATCAGCCAACGAATACACCAATGGAGAAATATTTGAAATTATCTATTACATTAAGTCAAGTCCTAGTTAATAAATTAAGGTATCAAAGATTTGTAGAGAAATTGATGTACTTAGCACACACAATACCAAATCTTCCCTACATATTAAATATTGTTAGCCAATTTATGCATAATCCTGGATAGCAACATATAAATGCAGTTATATACATTTTAAGATATATACAGTCAACATTTGAAAAATGATTAATATAAAATATCAACAAATCGATATGTATTGATGTTGATTGGGCTAGATTAATGGAAGATATACAATTAGCATCAAACTAGTTTACATTTATTGGTGTTAATCTTGTTATATGGAGAAGTAAAAAAAAAAAAAGTGTGGTCTCTTGGTCAAACACAAAAGTTGAGTTTAAAAATTTAACACTTGGAATTTGTGAAGGTTTATGACTAAGATTTCTCTTGTAAGATATTGGATACTCATCCACCCAACCTATTAAATTATATTATAATAATAAAATTGCTTGTGATATTGCTCATAATCCAAGTACAATATGATAAAAAAATGTTGAAGTGGATAGATTCTTTATCAAGAAAAAGTTAGAAGGAAAAATTATAAAATTGCCTATAATTCACTCAGAAGATCAATTAGTTTATATCTTAACAAATACCAGTATCAAATAAAGTATTCTCAAAATGTCTTGTTAAATTAGGCATATAAAAATTATATACAGTAACTTGAGACAGAGTGTCAAGAATTTCTTTTTCTTTACAAAATATCACTATACATATTGTATATTATTTTATTAGGATTTTGTATAATTATAAAATATTTTAATTTCCTAGTAACCTAATTAGGTATTCATATTTTGTATCTTACATATATGTTGTATATATTTTATTTCATATTAGATAATAAATATATTTCCATTTATATATTTCAAGTTGGTATCGAGTCAACTCTAGAGTTGTTCGGACAATAACCGTTAATAGTAATGGATAAGGATAACAAAATGGGTTAGTCCGATCTATTTTGGTTCGTTCCGTCTTTAGTCCGCCAA